GCTTACATCAACGTTTCGGCTGTTTCTTCGTCGGAGCATGGAAAGTTGAAGTCGAGTAATCCATCCTCTCAGATGTCACAAGACTTAGGATATAGTTCGTAAGGAGAGCCAGTCAAAACATTACCAAAGCTTAGAGTAACCAGATACTGACCTTAGATGATAGTACAACGAAGCGTTTCGTGAACTGATCACCTATATAAGTACTGTTCCTCAACACTTCTTAAATGTGCCCTAATGACTTAACCTCTTTTTTAAATCCAAGGATTGATAAGGCGCTAACTTGGTGGAATCATAAAGTTGCCATTTTATAAATTTACTAAGAGATCTTCTTGCAGTTTTGCCCGAAAAATTGCACAGTTGTAATGCTGCGATTTTAACCGACATTAAAATCAGGCAAAGCGTATATCAGGGTCTCACAAACGTTGAAAAAAATTTTTATTAATGATAAACTGTGACCACATTTTTCTTGAGGTGCGGAGTACACAGCGGCATAAAAAATTTCGTGTCTATGACTTCCCAAAAGTTTGTAAATAGTCGAATAACCTATCTTTCATTTTTAAAACTATAAACTTAGGCCCGTAGTAAAGTCCCCTCAGCGGAGATCACCTGAAGACAGGGACAGGTGAATTCACTCCAAGGCAGGCAAGGTACAGGGGAGCAGTTGATTGGAAAAATCCATAACATGCGCAGTGTTGTTTATGTCTTACCTTTTATCTCCATTGTTTCATATCGTTCATATCGTATATCAATAATGTTAATAATTCCATCTTTTAATAGACTGTACTTTTGATTTGTGCATATTCATCATCTATATAGGAGGAGATATGCAATTCTGCAGTCCTATATCACCTTCACATAGTATATCGCAGTTAAAGTGGCAGCCATTGAGCAAATGACTATGGTTTGAATCCGCTCAAGGTCAAACCGTTTTGCCAATGAGTAAGAGGTAAATGGATGATCATAGGAGCAGTTGTGTTTGCAAGACAGACCGGATTCGAACCATTCCTTAATAGGCCTTTGGTTATGCATGCAAGCATAGACCTGTT